CAAGTATAGATGATACTTCCCTGGGCCATCTAGTGCCACTGGGCCAGCTTCTGGAAAGGGATAGGAGAGCAGAAGCCATGGGGCCTGGCCCTCCGTTGATCCTGAGTGGAGGGCAAGGAGACAGAGGCCACTGTGGGTGCTGCTCCTGCCAAGGACAGGACTGCCCCCGGAAGCTGGGTGTGCCTTGAGGATGGGGTGGTTGGGGCTTCCCGCTCTTGGCGCCAGTGGATCAGACCAGTGCCAGGTCCAAGTGGTGGAACAAGGGCCATGACTCTTCACTGTGTCTGTTGTGCTTTCCTTTCCCCGGTCCTTGGACAGAAAGGACAAGCTTTTCTTTTGGGTTGTTTTTGTTTGGCTAATGCCTGCAGTGGTTCTGGGCTTTAGATCTCTCCTGTGTCTGGTCTAGGAGCGTATGGGAGATAAAAAGAAAACCTAGGAAATTTCACTATGTAGTCAGTCCTTGTGTCCTCTGAGTCTGTTCTTCCTCCCAAGCCAGTGTTGTTGACATTCTTTCAGCTTCCTTTTAGAGTTCCTTCACCATAGTCTCTGGGCTTCCCTGGTGGCTCAGAGGGTAAAGCACCTGCCTACAATGTGGCAGACCTGGGTTCGATCCCTGGGTCAGGAAGATCCCCTGGAGAAGGAAAGGGCAACCCACTCCGGTACTCTTGCCTGAAAAATCCCATGGACGGAGAAGCCTGGTAGGCTACAGTCCATGGGGTTGCAAAGAGTCGGACATGACTGAGCAACTTCACTTTCACTTTCACCATAGTCTAATGGACTTTTTCCTGAGTGTTTTGTTTTATTTATAGAGGAGAACAGAAGAAATTATTCTATACCATCTTTCCCTAGAACTGGAGCCAAAATAATCTTTTAAGGAAGTAAATGTACTCAGATTGCTTTACCAGTTACTAGTGTCATAGTAAATCATCAATAGGTTTTCTGAATTCAAGTCACATGGTCTTCTGTCATTCTGAATGCACTATATTCTATTTCTACTCAGACATTTCTCTACTGCTCTTCTTTCTGCCCTGGACCTTTTTTTCCCTCTCCCTTCACTATCTCTCATCTTCTAGTCTCAAGAAACCCTTGCCCATTCATGAATTCTTACTTATCTTGTACAATCCAGCTTAAATATTATTTAGTCAAGAAAGTCTTCTCTGACTCCCCATTCTAGCTCAGGTCCTCTTACAATATATATACTGTCCTCTGTTCAGCCATCACATCGATAATTAAACTAATGATTATGTAGTTAATCGTTTAGTATCTCTCTCCATTGCTAGAATGCAAACTCTTAGGGTCTGGATCTGTCTTGTTCAGTACTGATCCTAACCCCCACCCCCACCTCCAGTACTCATCAAGTATCTGAATATGTAAAAAGTTTTCCTTATTTAAAATTAAAAAATTCAATATGTGTATGGGATTTTCCATTTTCAGAAAACTTTGCAGTCACTAATTAAACAAGTATCAGAATAGTCCTGAAAGTTTAAGAAATTAAAAGTCACACAGCAGTTAGGACATTGTTATCTTCTTCTCAAAGCTCAGTTTGGAAAGATTCCTCCTGCCTACAAGGGGGAGTTTATAATAAAAATACCTTTTTCCCCCCTTTTTCATGGTAGGTCAATAATTGTGTTCTAAAATGTAGCTTTACCTAATTTCTTCCACAGCTCTAGTCAGCCAGGCATGGGGCAAGATCCTGGCAAGACAACAGTGAACAAGATGGACCACAGTTTTTGTTGTTGTTCTTGTTTTATGAAACTTGGAGTTGGAGCACACAGAAATGATCTTCATGGAGAAACCATGAAGACCCACACCTATGGGGTTTCTTACTTGGGACTTGATTTCAATTTCTAATATTTCTTCAACTAAAAGAAACAGTTAAAATTATTTCTTGGACAATGAACCATGGAATAAAGAAAAAAATCAGCATTTGAAAGAAAAATGTTGAGATGTCCATTGGCCAATAATTTTCCCATAAATCTGTAGGGGATTTGGTGTGTTTTGTTTGGATTAGTTACTTAATAATACAGGAAGAGGATCTCAAATAATAATGTGTTGCACAATGTTTTTCAGAAAATCTCATGTTAAAAGTAATGCCACCACCAATGTAAAGTTGCTTTTATTTCCTCGTCAGAGTTTATAAACTGAATTTTTGTTCAAGTAAATACACTGCAACAGTAGATGTAAGTAGAGAGGGAGCGACAGTTTCCTAGAATTTCCTAACAATAAATAAAACAAAACTTCAAATCCTCAAAGGTTGTTGCCATCTTTCCTTCAGTAACAAATAAATTAAACTCAGTTCATTTGTTTGCAAGTATTCCAGTAAAAAGAGTAAATTCTAATATTTTACATTTTGGTATTGACATCTGAAATGTGGTTAAAAAGATGTTGATCATTATGTTTTCTGAGGTTGATATTTTAGATTGTTGCTTTTCTATCTTTTTTTTTTTAGAATTGTTGTTAACTATGGTAAATATTTCATATTAAAAGAGGAAATGATCCTACTTAAGACTGTTATAGCAGTCTTCTGAATCTGCCATAATCTTAAGCATTAATAATCAGTCAATTTTACATAAATAATTTGATCATGTTTCTACCATTGAATTGATAGATTGTGTAAATCTATAGATTAAATGAAATCAGTTAACTATGTTAAAAAAACTCTATTTAAAACTAGGTTTACGGGGTTTAAGGTTGGTATTTAATTAAATCTTCCCTATCCTAAGTTTGGAACTAGAGTTGAACAAATGCAGGTCAAAGTAGCAGCTGAGCTGTGTGACTTTAATGCATGACCAGGAGCAGAATTCCTCTTATCGTCTTCATAAGATGATCTCCTTAATTGTGGTTGTTTAAAAATAGGCATATAGTTTCTTTGACATTTCTCCATTCAAAGAGTAGAATCTAATTCCTCTCTCCTTCAATCCTTTGCTTCTAGAGGAAACTGTGATGACTGTGCCTTTTGACACTCAGTCATAAAGGCCCTGTTACTCCCTCATTGTTCTTTCTTTTAGACCATTCTCTTTTGGGGAAGACAATTTCCCCCTGACAACTACTGCCACGTCATAGAACACTCAACCAATCTATGGCAAGATCCATATGGTGAGGAACTAGACTTTCTGCTGACAACTGTGTCAGTGAGCCTCTTGGAAGCAAACACTGAGAAATCGGACTTCTGTCCAAAGCCAGTGAGTAATTTTCAGACCTCAGTTCAGTCTAGTTCAGTCACTCAGTCATATCTGACTCTTTGCGACCCCATGGACTGCAGCATGCCAGGCCTCCCTGTCCATCACCAACTCCCCGGAGCTTATTCAAACTCATGTCCATTGAGTCGGTGAGGCCATCAAACCACCTCATCCTCTGTTGTCCCCTTCTCCTCCCACCTTCAATCTTTCCCAGCATCAGGATCTTTTCAGATGAGTCAGTTCTTTGCATCAGGTGGCCAAAGTATTGGAGTTTCAGTTTCATCATCAGTCCTTCCAATGAATATTNCTGTTGTTCCATGTCCAGTTCTAACTGTTGCTTCCTGACCTGCATACAGGTTTCTCAAGAGGCAGGTCAGGTGGTCTGGTATTTCCATCTCTTTCAGAATTTTCCACAGTTTCTTGTGATCCACACAGTCAAAGGCTTTGGCATAGTCAATAAAGCAGAAATAGATGTTTTTTTGGAACTCTCTCACTTTTTCAATGATCCAGCGGATGTTGGCAATTTGATCTCTGGTTCCTCTGCCTTTTCTAAAACCAGCTTGTACATCTGGAAGTTCATGGTTCACATATTGCTGAAGCCTGGCTTCGAGAATTTTGAGCATTACTTTACTAGCATGTGAGATGAGTGCAACTGTGTGGTAGTTTGAGCATTCTTTGGGTTTGCATTTCTTTGGGATCGGAATGAAAACTGACCTTTTCCAGTCCTGTGGCCACTGCTGAGTTTTCCAAATTTTCAGACCTGATCATAGGTAATTACCAAGGCTTTACCTGGGAGACTAGACGACAGAAAGCTGCCCTTTCCAGGGCAGACCTTTGTACAGCCAACCTATTATGGTCTCCGAAGGCAGTTACAGTCAAGGACTCAGGCCCCCTGGCCAGCCATGTGTTTCACATATTTGCATTCTTGGTTTTGGTGCGCACCTGCCTTCGGGTTTTCTTTATTTGAGGCCTTAGGCAGAGGTCAACTCCAGGTGCATTTGCTTGAGGCCGCCTTATTGGGGGGAGGAGGAAGGCTCTTGAATTTACTTAGGAGGGTGTTAGGAAAGTTACTCTAAAGAAGAAATAATTCAGCTCCGATCTAGATGATACTGACACTTAACTGAATGAAATAGGAAACTTGTGGATAGGCAGGAGATGTCTGAGCCTAAGGAGTAGCATGTGTTTACCCAGAATTCCAGCCTTATAACTGTGCAACTTCCTAAGCTAAGTAGAGAGAAAAAAACAGGATAAGCCAAAAACATTTCCAGAATGCTCACCAAGGCACTGACCCTGATGTGTTTTCTTTTTGAAAGCACGAGGTGCACAATGTATCCTGCTTCTTAGCAGAAAAAGTCCAAAGAGAGACAGGAAAAAGCTGAATTGTATATTGTCAAGTTCTTTTCTCAATTTCACCCCTAGAATAGTCATAGTTCTTCCTCAGAGGAGACAGTTAAGGGAAAACCATTCCACCAATAGACCAAAATAGGGTCTTAGTGAAGTTGTATTTTTCCATGTTTTGTTACAATGATCAGCAGTCTAGGGAGATTCTACAGGTTATAGAATCAGCAAATGTTGCTATGAAATTTTTTACTCTCATGATTATGATTCTTAGAAGGACAAAAATTGAAGCTTTTAATGAGTAAGATTAGATATATGGTCTTTTGTAAGGAATAAAATATTAAATTTATTACCATAAGTCACTTTATCTTCTATTTAATGTCAATTTATCTGTGACCAACTCACTATTTTCTCCACTGAGACATTAAAAAGCTTGTAATTAATTTGAAGGGAAAGAGAAAAATATGAATTCCTTAAAAGTACCTTCATCGAGTTCTTTACATTCTCTGGTCTTCATCTGTCATGATACCACACTGAGCTACTTGTTCATTAAATCTATTTAACTGTGTTGGGATCTGTGCAAGTTATGGTGGACATAAGAATGAGAAAAACAAAAGGCCATTATTTCTGAAGTTCAAAAGCTTATAGTCTTGTAAAGAAATCAGACATAAATAAAAAATTCCAAAAAGTCAATGCAAAATTACATTGGTCATAATTTCTAAGAACAGATGCGTGGCACTGTGGTAGCCATAAAGAAGAGTAATGACTAAATTGGGAAGTAGAAAAGACTTCTTTAAAGAAGTAATATTCAAACAGAAGTCTGAGAGACAAATAGTAATAGCTAAAGTCAGAAGATAGGTAAGAAGCTTTCCAGCCTGAGAAGACAGCCCATGTGAATGATAGCTTGTAGCAGGCAGTGTGGTTAAACATCAAGGGTGCTAAGTTGCTTCAGTTAAAATGTCTGACTCTTTGTGACCCCGTAGACTGTAGCCTGCCAGGCTCCTCTGTCTGTGGGATTCCCAGGCAACAATGCTGGAGTGGGCTGCCATTTCCTTCTCCAGGGAATCTTCCAAACCCAGGGATCAAACCCATGTCTCTTAGGTCTCCTACATTGGCAGGCAGGGTCTTTACACTGGCTCCACCTGGGCAACATAAACATTAGGGGTAGATGAGGCCTATTGTGCCCACACATAATTAAGAACTTGAATGTTGATCTGGCTTTTTCAAACATCATATTTCCCTGGCCAGAACAACAGATGGATGCTAGTGGTGGGATGTATTTGCTTAAAATATTCAATTAGGGTAATATCAAGTAGGTAATATTCCTACTGGAAAAAAAATGCCACTTAAAATGCCAGTGACTTATCATTCCTGGAAGAATCTATTGAGGATGTTACTACCTGGTGGTGGCCTTCCACACAGTGTTCCACGACTCAGGATCATTCCACCTTGTTGCTCCACCATCCACAAGGCTCCAACCAGTGGAGGGAAACTGAGTGAAGAGCAAATAACTGCCTCTTTTAAAGATTCAGGCTCAGAAATAACACACATCATTTTGCTCATAATTGTTGGTGTGAACTAGTCATGACTGTACCTTGAAATTACCAGAGGGTACTGGGGAATATACTCACTGCCTGGGAAGATGCCTCTGAAAAACACCTATGATATTCTAGAAGGTGGAACATTTTTTTGTGGACAGCTAGCCATCTTTGCCACACTTCCTGAGGAATTACACACTGCTAATAGGTTACGTCATTATACTATACTGTTATGTCATTGAATTACATCATTCTTTGGGCAGTTATATGAAACTTTCAAAACATCATATTGATTTTTCAGTGTAAAAATTGCTATTTGGCATTTTGGAATATATAGATCTTCATGATCACAGATATTTTTATGAGATATTTATAAGAGGAAAAATCATTCCCTAGCAGAAAGAGAAAAATTAGAATGGCTTATCTTGTTTAGAAACATGGTCTTCCATAATTTTTCTCATCTTAAGTAACTGATTTTATGGATGGATCTGAAATTGAATGCAAATGGATAAGGACATTCTTAAATAAGCAGTTAATGGTTTCCTTTCTCACTGTAAGCCTCTTCAGTTATAACAGGAAGCACAAGAATTTGAATGTGTGAAAGATTCAGTTTGAGGTATTTTATTTTTATCATTCTTAAAAATTCATTGGGTGATCTGAACTTTTGTATGGTAAAATTTATAATGTGAAAGTTTTTTGTGGTCAAATTTATATTGGGAAATACCACAAAAATGTGTGTGTGTTTGGTCCACCCAAAAGGAGCTTCAGCAATCAGATAAGAAAGTGGAAGAACTACTAAAGCAGAATAAATGAGTGTACACTGTGCCACTCTAGCACTGAAATGAGTGGCAAATATGACTTTAACCCCAGAGACATTGAGAACAGGAACAACATCTGACTCATCTATTCAAGGGTGGAAAACTAACCAGAGTAGCGATAAAGTACCAGGTGCTTAGATCCTGACTTGCTGTGCATAAATTAAATAATAACCGTAAAATATTACATCTGTGTAATGCTTTGTGATTTCCAAAGCACCATCTGGGGTTGACATTTATCACCATTGCAACACGACAATAAAGTTAACCAGACAGTTATGAAGTTGAGTACTTCAGAGAAGTTAGGTATGCACACATCTTTGGTTAAACTGCCCCAGGAGTTGAGTGTCCTAGCATTTATGAATTTCCACTTGACTTTGAGTTTATGTAACTCATTCCCATGTTGACTGATTGCACTTTAAGTACAACTCTAAATATACAAATACTCATGAATAATATTTTTGACTGGGTGATCTAGGGTATTACATAATTGAACATTTTACTGCCAGGCATTGAAGGATCCTTGCACAGTCTTGGGTTCTAGGTTTCTTCCTGGTGCTTATGAGTTTTATGTGCTTGACCAGATTTCTTATCTCTTTGAGTCTGTTTCTTTATCTGTAAAATGGAGTTAAGGATATTTGTTCTTACCAGTGTCATGAGACACACATAGGTGATTTAGAAGATTGAGACCAAGTTTTACAACCCTTAAATATTCTACAAATATAAATTATCATTTGGCTTCCTCTTCTTTGTTTTTTATATGCCAACCCAGACCAGAAACAAATGGACCTAAACCATGAAGTTGAGCCTAACTGAAATTGCTTCTTGGAATAAGAAACTCATTTTATGATTTCTTAATATTGACTTAAGTTGACCAGCCATTGAGGATTTTCTGAGTGTTAGCACTGAAAGTCCAGTGTCCTGGTAAACCCCTCAATTCTAGGAAAACCAGGATGGCTCATGACCCTACCTTGACTTTCTGATTCTAAGAATCCTTCTCAGAAATAGCTTTTAATCTTCTCTTATTAATATGAGATCTTTCTTTGGAAAAAAAAATATTCCTTCCATATGAGTCCGTTTATTTTTCAGAATATATCAGACTTTCAACCCAAACACATGGCTAAGTAGCACGTAATACAGTTCATGTGCCTACATAATGACCTAGGACTTGTATACAGAGATATGTGATCAGTTAATTGTGAACACCTCCACTCCAGCACTTATTAGATATTTTTAAAATTTTTTAATTTTATTTTTAACCTTTTATCTGTATTGGATTTATAGCCAATTGACAATGTTGTGATAGTTTCAAGTGGATAGCGAAGGGACTCAGCCATATGTATACATGTATCCATTCTCCCCCAAACTTCTCTTTCATCCAGACTGTCATATAACACTGTGCAGAGTTCCCTGTGCTATATAGTAGGACCTTGTTTATTAGCACTTATTATACTTAATTGAATTATTTAACCATCTGTTAGTCCCTCAGTCATGTCTGACCCTTTGCAACCCCATGCACTGTAGCCCACCTCTGTCCATGGAATTCTCCAAGCAAGAATACTAGAGTTGGTAGCCATTCCCTTCTCCAGGAGATCTTCCAACCCAGGGTTCAAACCCAGATGTTCCACACTGCAGGCAGATACTTTACTGTCTGAGCCGCCAGGGAAGCCCGTGAATACTGGGGTGGGTAGCCATTCCTTTCTCCAGGGGATCTTCTCAGCCCAGGGATTGAATTGGGTCTCCTGAATTACAGATAGATTCTTTACCATCTGAGCCACCAGGGAAGCCCCATCACATCTTATCAGGAGTCCATTCATTTTCATCTTTGATTCTATAGCATCTAGTAGGCTGACTGGCACATTGGAAACACCTAGGAAGTATATAGTAAACTGAAATGTGAAACCTAAACTTGCACAGTTCAACCCTTATGAGAGTCAGATTTTTGATGTTTTATAAAGTGTACATAAAAATCTTCATTTAAGACTCACAGAGTGTAGTGAGGCTTAAATATTAATAACATACCATGAAAAATGTTAACCACTTTTCTAAACTATAAAATATAATTAAATTTGAGTAAGGATTGATATTAATATTTAATAGCTTTAAGGGCTTCCCAGTTCTTTACTAGTGGTAAAGAACCCACCTGCCAAAGCAGGAGACATAAAAGACATGAGTTCGATCCCTGGGTTGGGAAGATCCCCTGAAGAAGGGAATGGCAACCCAATCCAGTATTCCTGTCTGGAAAATCCCATGGACAGAAGAGCCTGGCAGGCCACAGTCTACAGAGTCACAAAGAGTCGGATATGACTAAGTGATTTAGCACTCACGCAAACATTTCAATTTGGTTTTCATCCAGGAGTCTGATATGACTCCTGGATTCTTGAATTGATTTTGAATATTAATTATATACTTCTGTCCAAGAGTTTTTCATTTATCCTATACATAAATGACCACAGGACAATGTGAAACAGATTCTCTTTGACATGGATATAGTCACTTACAAGTTAATACCATCATATCTAAATATAATAAGAAATGTGGATGCATTTAAGTTCAGTCTAGTTGGTTTCCTGAAAGACTTCACTCAAAGGTCATCTATATTAATGTTGTGCAATACTTGATAAGCCAATGAAATTGAAATAAATTTCATATTTATTGCCAAAGGAATTAACTCTTTATTGCAGTATGAATCATAGCTGTCTCTTCAGCTTACTCCTGCTTAGAAGGTCTTGTTCAAATGCTATCACATCCAGGGCTTGATTCAGGTGACCTATCATAGGTACTCTATTCCTATGACAATTCCCATTGAATTACTCCTTGGTTGTTCACACAACCAAGAGTTCAGAGCAGCTTGATCAATATGGAAGATAATCTTTGCCTCTAGATTTGGATTAATTTAGGTTAAGCTCTTGGATTATCTAGATGATAGAATATGTGGCTCTTTGGTTTCTTCTCTTATAGGGTACAACGTGTAGGATCCCCAGTAACTGAGTCCTCTTCTTTTAAAATGATCTAAAGTAGGGCCTCAGATGGAGGAGAACATTCCAGAGCCACAGCTCTAACTTCCCCTCTGGGTCTCTTGCTACGTCCTTTGTGAGTTACTTAGAGTGAGAGGATTTGGAGGCCTTATCATTGGAGATGAATGGAATGATTTTTCTCTAACATGAACTCTTTGAAGAGAAGGACACAAGAGACCTGGAGTAGCCTGATAGGATTCCTAAGATCAACCTGAATTGGAGCTGTAAAAGGCACAGTGGAGGACAGTGGGATTGGTGAAGCAAAGACAACTATTTCACATGGTCAGTAGAAGGTAAAATGTGCTGGCTTAGGACTTGTTGTCAGGAAGGAGGGGCTAGAATATTTATTCTTTTGTGTATTCATCCTTTTATTCAACAAACATCTATTTATTATCTGCTAGGTAGCTATGTAGCAAGTAAGCACTGGGCTTATAGCAATGATCATATGGGTGTTTGTTTTCATAGAATTTGCACATTTTTGGGGGGGGCACTGATAGGTGGTTAATACTAAATAAATTTCTAAAAAATAACTAGGCAATGTAAACATCAGGTTGTGATGTGTGCATTACAAATATTTAACCTAAATGATATGATAATGAGTGTCAGCGAATCTATACGGATGGGCTGGAATCTAGCTATATATCTGACTGACAAACAGAAGCCAGGCAAAAAGTGGGGACATGGAATTACCAGTAGAGAGTGTGGTTAGAGCAAAGGCTCTTAGGGAGTAACAAAACTGGTGGCTTGTAGGAAGCCAAGGCCAGTATGGCTAGAACAGAGAGGGTGAAGTGGAGAGTGTGAGAGAGAAGGCTAACATTAAAAAAGAAAAAAAAAGACCAGATTATGTAGTGCTCTGTTAACTAGAAAAAGAAACTTGCATATGTGTATATAGTGGGGAAGCATTAGAAAAATTTAAGTAGATGATGAATAAGTAAGTACTATGCTATGCTTACAATGTGAACTTGTACTATTTTATTAGTAGTAACTAAAATATAAATTGGCTAAGGAGTGTGGGACTTGAGGTCTGGTTGAGATGGTGGTGTCTATTTATATTAGGTCAAGATATGAAGAATTTAACTACTGTAATTAGTTAAATTACAGTACTCCAGTACAATGAAATACTAATCCAACATTAAGGAGGATGGGGGAATTAGAATAAAATAGAAATATTATTATACCATATTTTAACATAAAAATAATGCAAGTTACTTTGTAAAGTATGATTTCATTTTTCATTTGGATAGCAGGTATATATATATATATATATATATACATATATATAATATGAACATCCAGTATTGAAAGGGCATTTTCTCTCCTAACTCCTATCTTTTACAACCTAAATTTT